GTAGAAATAATCCTCTGTCTCGTCCAGATCTGGTCACATACGAACGACCAACATCAGTCTTGGGATGATGCATTGTCAAGTCAGTAGCTTTCTCGTTTTGCTACCCATTCGCTTAATGTCGGCTATGGTCCAGTTAAGATTGTTGAAACTGTATTGCACAACGGGGACAGCCAAAGTGATTATATTTGATCCTGTATATATATATATATAAATTTTTTTTTTTTAATTTTAGCTCGGGATTCAATACCAGAGACACACGCATGTAATATTCTTTTTTATTCTCTCCTTCATTTGGCTATGCTACATTCCAACTCCTTCGCTATTTCCTAGGTACACATAGGCTTCTTCCAGTTCCCTAATCTTTGTGACAAAATCTGAAACTATTTAGTGTCTAATTCTCTCTTTCTTGACTATTACTTTTAGGCATTTATCTAATCCGAAATCCATTCATATGTAAAACAATTCACAGTATCAAAGGGACCTTCAAATGGTTGTCCTCTTTGTCAAAGAAGTTGTGATCATTCATGTAGAGTAGGTGACTGAAGAATTTCTTGTTTACTTTGTATCCATAGCTATTGAGGTTTAGTCCATGTTTCAGGGGGATTAAATAACAGAAGGGGTGACAGGGAACTCCCTGTCACCCCTTCTGTTATTTAATGAAAAGATTCCATGTAAGATATCCAAACAATTGGAAGTGGCAGTAACTTTGGTGTGGCTTAGGTATAATGTGGTTTTCCATATTCCCATGTTATCTTTAAGGAAATTTATTATCACCGAGGAGACTTTTATTATTACTATTATCATTATTAATTATTATTAAGCTAAATCTCGAGATACGTACTTCATTATGGATGTCAGACATGGCGCCAGACCCGTTCAGAAATATTTAAACTATCATCTCTAGAAAAGCGCTTTCGCCGATCACTGGTTACATATGGCTTCTTCACTAAGAACCCTACGTCTTTGAACTTCATGGAATGTTGCTACAAAATATACAAAAAAAAGAACTGTTCCACATATGATACTGTACCACTAAGATGCTGATGTTCTATTGTATTTAAAATAAAAGACAAGATAGGAAGACACCATCACAAAGGGAAAGGGCAATAATAACCACTGGATTTGAAACCTATTTTCCTGAAATTTTGTTTTGAGAGAGGTTTTATAAATTTGACCGGAAATCTGCGCTGACTGCTTGGTCAATGAATGTCGAATGCTTCATTAGAAGGAAATAGTTAATATTACCATAATCGTTTGTTCTGCCTACACAGAACATTTTGCTGAAGATTGAACCATAGTAGCAGCTATACACTACCAGTGGGCTAAGATAGCACGTTTTCATCAGGATTTGGCCGCTAACAATCACTACATCCATAGGGATATATCAGACACATACATATATAATTACTGCTGTTAAGTGAGAGGGTGGCCCGCTAACAATGTGATGCCAGGGTAAAAATTAACTGAAGTCCTATAAACCCATTATCACTCCCGGTCTGATAAGGGTATGATAGGTTTATTTATCACAGCCAAATATGTGCGATATCGTGAAAGTTAGAAATAACTTTAAGTGGCGTTCCTCAGTCCTCTGAGTTGATCTCCAATTGAGGGTGATATCGACTATCTAGAGATGACCAGCAAGTTTTCTTTTGGTTGCTACAGACATAAAAGCATACATAATCGACACCGCCAATAATGCCCCCAGTACTCTCGCTCATCGATAGAAATTTAGGTTGCTATCAGTTTCGAGAAGAAATGCCGAATTGGTTAAAGTTAGCGAACTGAGGAGCTAATCCGCGAGAGTGAAAGGGATATTTTTTGATACTGTTACTTCACCGAATACAAGGCCCACTCACGGTAGAGTGTTACGGAACGAGATTGTTGTAAGCGAGGGGTAGTGAGAAAGTAAGTATAAGTAGGATATATATCGAGTGAACCTAGATTTGAAGAGTCCAAGATTGTAGTTGTCAGGAAAGCACTTGGGTTTGCCGCCGTTAACAGAGAAACTCTGAACTGGGGGTACTAAGGAATATAACTTGTCCGAACATCTCACCTAGGAATGGCGATAGAACAGCGTGAGGCAAGCAGTGTTTCATCTGTGGATTAAGTGTTGCTAGGTAGAAATTAATCGCATTTGAACTCTGTCGAGTTCTGGGGAGTAAGGACTGAGCAGCTCCTTCCGATAAATGGAACAAATACTCCACTTTGTTCTTAGCCTGATTTGACATGTAAGGATGGAATATGACAGCAGGAGTTGGGTATTTTCCGGAGCGATACAAGGATGCGGCTATTCTTCCAGAATCTTTTGTGATGGCTAAAATGTATGCCTTCCATCTGCAAAAAGATTACCAGCATACTGAAACGCTGAAATATTTGAAATCAATCCAGTCGACTGCTCGCATTTGAGTGTCTGCTATTACGTGTCGACGAATAGGAATCTAAAAATATCTGACCTTTGATGATTACGTAACTATTCACAAACAAGCCGACCGGGTGGCGTTTGTAATATAATGAATCGTACTGGAGTCGTAAGAGCCGATTAGTCTCGGGAGACTCTATCTTAAATATTTATAAGTCTACCATTCATCTATGCTCTGAATATTGCTGGCACATCTGATCCGTTGCTTTTAGTACATATTTAGAGATTATTGATAAAATACAAAGAGAAATTTACAATGTTATTGGTCCTGACGTGGCATCGCTGCTTCTGTCAATTTCTCACCGCCGTATCGTTGATTCCATGTGCCTTTTTAATAAATAATTTCATAGTAATTGTTCTGTTGTTTCGTTTTTTTTTTAATTGTTGTTTTTATTCCCTCCACCCATGTTATAGGAATATATGTCGTTGCCGATACTGGGATTTGAACACATATCACCAGAGAGCAAAAACAGGCGGCCCCATTTTGAATAAGCAGATCACGTGATGGTAAAGTAAATGTATATATATAGGAATTAGCGTGGCGTGGAAGTGATCACAGTACGGATCACTATACAGATTACTATTCGGATCATTACTTTTCTAACGAGTATTATCGAGCAAGTACTATTAATGGCGAGTGTTATTCGAAGGCGTCTGACACTCGTATTGATCAACGGCCTTCCTGTAGTTGTATCTGCGATTAAAAAGTCACTGCCACAAAGAGTATTACGAAAGTGACAAGTATTCGCTGACATTACAAAAACTGTTCAACATAATTTCCCTTTGAAGTTAAAGAAGGTCGTATTTGTCGGCACAATAATTTAGTAATAATCTAATTGTGCCATTCATTTTGTTCATATAAAATTTGTAAAAGAGTCATTAGATCATAAACAAACATAGGCGAACCGATTATTGAATTAACTGGATCACGTAACCATATAGGAATTGTATATATATATGAAGTCGCGTGACGTCTAGATTGATCTCTATTCTATTCTATCCTCTATATTATACGGATCGCTATTTCTGCTCTATCCTCTATTACTAAACGGACCGCTATTCTCTACTCTATTCACTATATTATTTCTCTGTTCGAATCACTATTCGATGGTTACTATTCGAGCGAGTATTATCTAGCAAGTAGTATTAGTGCGAGTGTTATTCGAAGGCGTTTGACACCAGTATAGTTCAACGGCATTACTATAGCTGTATCTGCGATTACAGAGTCTCTAATACAACGAGCATTATGAAAGTGACAACGAGTATTCGTTGACATCACAAAAGTGGCAACGAATTTACCTTGACATCACAAAACCCCACCAGCCAAAAATTGTATATATTGATACTAGTTAGAACTTCCTAGAGACTTTGAGGTATTATTGTGCAAGTAATACGAATGGTAAGTAAGAATGTGTTGTTCAGTTTAAGGGTCACTGATTGTGGCACGCTTAGGCGATCATGTATCTTTCGATATACGACTGACGAGGCAGATTCTTTCTCGCACTATGCCCTCGTTTATTTCTGCGGTAGACTAGTTGCCATTCACGGCTATAGAACCCGGCTGTTCTGCTATTTACACAAAGCCAGGGAGAAAAACTGAGGTGAAAAGCATTATAAAAGTGTAAAAATAGGTTTTAATACCAGAAATACTTTGTAAAAAATTATTACCAGAAATAAATGTTTGAAGAAAAAAAAACTATTACCAGCAATACGTTTTTGAAAAAAATATTACCAGCTATACATTTAAAAAAAAATAATATTGATTTTCTAAGTGAGGCTTAGATGCGGCACATGGCCGAAAGTATGGAGCACCCAGTGAGAATCGAACTCACTATTCAGTTGTAACAAGACCAGCTTGCTAACCATTACACCACGCGGAGGAGCCCAGAAATAAAATTAATATTACCAGCTATACATTTTTGAGGAAAAATATTAACAGAAATAGATTTTTGACAAAACAAAAATATTACTAGGAAAATATAGTTGCCGGCATTAAATGACCCATTGAGGTTAATATGCCGTAAATCAAAACTAGGGGGGGATGTAAGCGGATATAACGGATTCAACTGGAATTCGAACTCGGCTCTCCGACTCCTCAATCCGAGCCGTTAACCATGACTCGACCGTTCCTCACTAGCTTTATATATAGGACAGAAAAAGACCATCTTTTCTCCTCGCCCTTTTGGCCATGTGCCATATTTTTGTATCTTTGCAAAATAAAGATTACTTTCTTCTCTGCTGAGTAGACTTTATGAATTTAAGTGCAGTACTAGATTGGCGGAAAGTTCTTGTCATTTTACAGTTGAAATGGCTCGATGTAACCGTAAGTTCTATGCTAACAATATCTTCACTCGCATTTCGGTCTAGTGAAACTCTCTTTGAGAATTTTCTTTCTCAGACGACTTTGATTTTTAAAAAATTAAATGCAGTGTCACTTGATATGTTCTGTCTTCTTAATTACTGTTCTTTATTTTTCTCCCTCCTTTATGGTGTTTTGATTTTCTCATATTCTTTTAGTAAACCCCTTGTGTCTTAGTAGATTTATTGCCTTGCTTAGAGTGAAATGTAAAACATGCTTAAGTATAAGACCAGCAACTTTGACTTTATAGTTACTAGTTTTAGAGCAAGAAAACTAAAGCGGTTTTACGTGACGAATTATTTTTTCTTTCTTTCTCCCCCTTTCTCTCTCTCTCTGTTTATCTATGTCGCTGTGTTACTTTCCTTTTCTTTCGCTGTCTCTATCTTGGCCTCTCTGTTACTTTCATCATCTTTCTCTCTATATATCTTCGTCTCTGTAACATTCTTTCTCTTTTTCTCTGTCTGTATCTGTCTTCGTCTCTCTGTTACTCTCTTTCTCCTATTTTCTCTCTTTCTATCTCTCTTAATCGCTTTGTTTTTTTTTCTCTTTCGCTCTCTCTACCTTCGTCTATCTGATACTTTTATTCTGCCTCTCTTTCTTATTCTTCGTCTTTCTGTTACTTTCTTTTTCTTTTCTATCTTCTTTCTTGGCCAATCTACTCTCGTCGCTTTGTTAATTTCTTTCTCTTTCACTCTCTCTTTCTATCTATCTTCATCTTCCTGTTATATTTTTTTTTCTTTTTTCGCTTTCTCTATCCATATTAGTCTCTCCGTTACTTTCTCTTTTTCTCTCTCTCAGTCTATCGTCGTCTCTGTTAATTTCTTTCTATTTCTCTGTCTCTAACTTCGTCTCTCTTACTTTCTTTGACTATCTCTCTCTCCATATAAATCTTCATCTTTGTGTTAATTTATCTCTCATTTTCTTTCTCTTTTTCTTTCTGTCTCTCACTATCTTCGTCTCTCTGGAACTTTCTTTTCATCTATCTCGCCCTAAGTATCTTCGTGTATCGCTTACTTTCTTTCTTTCTTTCTTTCTTTCTTTCTTTCTCCTTGTCTCTCTCTCTCTCTCTCTCTCTCTCACTCTTACAATCTTTGCCTCTCTGTTAGCTCTTTCTCTTTTCTCTATCTTACTTCGTCTCTCTGTTACTTTTATTGGCTTTCTCTCTCCCCAATATATATCTTCATCTATGTGTTAATTTCTTTATCTATGATTTTCGTTCTCTTTTACTACCTCTCTCACTCTCTCTCTCTCTCTGTTTCGCTATCTATCTTCATCTCTGTTACTTTCTCTCTATGCGTCTGTTTATCTCTAAATCTCTACCTCTCTCTTACTTTATTTTCTTTCTTTCTTTCTCTCTCTCATTTACTATCTGTCTTCGTCTCTCTGTTATTTTCTTTCCGTTTATCGCTCTCTATCTTTCTATCTCTGTTGCTCTATTTTTCTTTCTTATTCTCCCTCATTCTCTCTCTCTCTCTCTCTCTCTCTCTCTCTCGCTATCTTCGCCTCTCTGTTACTTTTTTGTCTTATGAAGAAACATTTTTTCCTGTTTCCTTTTGAATATTTTTTTTTTAATGTCTGTAGAAAAAATGGTTTGTGTGCTTCAGGGAGTAGTCGACTTTCGTGACTAATCTTTTAATTTCAACCTACTTATTTGTTAAATCTTTTTACCGCTCTTTCTCAAAACTATATTTTCATTACAACTCAAGATCTGTTCTTGATCGTCTAAGACGTGACAAATCGATGAAGAGTAGGGTAACGAATTTCCTGTTAGAAACAGAATGTTCATATTAATTTGAATTTCATTTTTTTATTCGTCTTCTTCAACTTCGAACAGCGAATGCTTAAGTTGGTGTCTAGATGAAAAACCTACCAGATCAATGTATAATAAGTCGAGAGGACTGAGATAATTGTTTCAACATTTGGCGCGCATCAAGTGTGAAGGACTGAAATTTACATAAAAGAGCATTTTGTCTTCGGAAGATACGACATGCCCAGAAATACGTAGAATACAATAATAACGTTAGCAGGGGTAATAAAATGAAAAAAAAAACAGTTATGAAATCAATAAAAAGAGACGTGTTAAACAAAAAGATAATTTCAGGAAAGAAAGTAGGACAATAAGAAATAACGTTACCGTAAAGTGTTAATATCGAAATACCACACCATTAACAAAAAAGAAATCTAAACCGATTAACCGGTCCCTTCTCATCGACTAAAAATGAACACCAAAGACCATATGTTACATAAATATATAACACTTACAAGCTTATTATCTTCAAGTTTAACAATTACTCCTTCTTTTTGGAAAGGGGTGGCTTGTAGAACTTAGTATAGACAGATTCCAACAATTCGTTGTTAATTGTTATTCTTGTTTTAATATGATCGTTCATATTGCTTTAATAATAATAACTTTGCTTTGTGGTAAAGAAACACATTGTTTCATAAATTCTTGAAAAATCAGACACTTGTAAAATTTAATGAAATTTTCAGCACTTATTCACAAATGAATTAAAATATTTTTAAATATATATTATTTTATTTAGAAAATCTTGGTAAAAATACGTTTTACACCTGTTACCCCCCACTTGTTTATTTCAGGATCTTTGTATTCATATTAGTTAAAAGCGGGAGTCCTTGGAGAATTCAAATCATCAATTTGTTTTTGTGAAATTTGATGATATTATTATTATTAACTGTAAAGTATATTTACTAATCATAAAAGGAAAGGCTTAATACAAATCATCGAACACTAATATTTTAAAAATTATTTTGAATTTTTTTTATTAGTGTATATGCGTTTTGCTTTTTCTAGTACCGGCGACAATACACGACATTATCAGAAAATAAGAGCGATGACTTTAAATTTAAAGCCAAAATTTTTAAAATTCAATAAAGCACTCAATTACGGAGAATATCTTCTTACCTTTTAAAATGACTGATTACTTAAACATTACTGTAGAGGAAATTTCATCAGGACAATTACTCTGTAAGTATTTATAGAAAGGACTCAGGGAAGCTACATCACGACGGCGGGAAAGTGACCGGAAGCGATATGCCACGTCAGGACCAATAACATTGCAGTTCCTTCTTTGGATTTTATCAAGAATTTCTAATTATATAGCATTCTTCTTGTTCTTGTTGCTCTTCTTCATATTATTATTATTATTATTATTATTATTATTATTATTATTATTATTATTATTCCTTCCTTTCTGGGTTCCAATCAAAGAAATGACACCATGAAATTTTTCACTGAGCAATTTGGGAAAAAATCAAACAAAAAAAAAAAACAAAAAAAAAACAACAAAAAAACATGTATTTTTACATATATAAAGACCTTCGTATGTTGTGGTCTGTACTTGTGAGAACAATTTTTGTGTTTCTTTAAAGCATGTTATTATTATTATTATTATTATTATTATTATTATTATTTTCTTTGATTTCTGGCGTTTACACATTTCTTTCCGGGTCCCGTCCAGGGACCTAAGGTTAGAAATGGCGTCATGACACTTTCCACTGACAAAACAAAAAAAAAAAATAAATTACATAGATAAAGCCCTTCGTAAGGTGTGGGCTGTACTTGTCAGAACAATTTTTTGTATCTCCTTGAGGCATGGACTTCCAGGAATCCCTTCAGTTAGTCTACTGCAATCTTTTCCAACCAGTCCTAGGGCTCCAACTCCAAATTATTATGCATTTAAATTATTATTATCATTATTAATATCATTATTTTTATTAATTATAAATATCGCTATTATTATTGCGATAAATTATTATTATTATTATTATTATTATTATTATTATTATTAGCACATGATTTTATCTGCAGTGTTCGGTAATGCCTAACTACCGAATCAGCAGAGTAAGTTTAAAAATCAGTAACTTCCGTTCTTTTTAAATTACTGTATTTGGAAACAGGTTTGCGTTGACTTACTTGTTTTCTGCCCTCCTTATCGTCAGAGCTTTACAATGTTTTGCCATTGGCATGCCATATATGTTTTTTATTTATTTCATCCACCACAAGGCTTTTGAACGACTCAAGTTAAAATGATACCGTCAAAATTATAACGATAAATGAGATGTCTGATAGAAATACGAGAGGGAATGATGTCGATTGTTTCTAGTTTTGAAGAGAACAAATCTGCCGTGACCAGGAAACGGTACACGGAAGTCTGGTCCACAAAGTTCCGGTTCTTCGGGAAAAAAAGCTCTCTAAGAAAGACTTTATTCTTTCAGGCGGAATGCAATATTGAAGACTCGTTGCAGACTTCCTTTGACACCAAATGTTTCATGACATGTAAAACTCAACCGCTCTTCCATGCAACAAATAAATAAATGTGTTACAGGCAAAAACAGTCCAACTCTACATTAAATATTTCTTTGTGTCCAGAATAATATCGGTTTATGTTCAACATTTTATTAACAGAAAATTTGAGAGACGCTTATGGTGACATCGCATTAATAGCCAATGATCAGTAACAAGAATACATACATACATATATATATATATATATATATATATATATATATATATATATATATATATTTCATACTATTAGACTTAAGATAATCTAATGGAATGATCATTTTCACCTACGAATTTTAAAATTTAAACTTCGCAGGATTTTACAAACTGTTTATGTTGTAAGTCTGTAGAAGGGGACTGGTTAATTGGAGAAGAAAAGAGAGAGAGAGAATATGAGAGGGGACAGAGGGGAAGAGATGACAGAAGAAGCCATATTTACAGGAAGTAATGTGGAGTATTATGGAGGTAGGAGTGAGGAGGAGGAGTGAAGGGAAACCCGATGAGCTGACCTACATGTAAATGGTCACACGACTAATGCTTGATTCAACGAGAATCCAAAGAAATTAATGAAAAAAAAACTAATTTATATAAAATACCAAGAGATAAACTTAGTGGAATCAAAGAGAGATAATTCAGAATTAATGTTGTATTAAATTCGTCCATATATCAGAACCCAAAAATTAAGGGAAGTGTATCAAAGATTTGGAGGGAATTTGAATATACATTCGTACACACGTTAAGAACCTTTCTACACATACTGCCATCTATACTTACATAAGCATAGACATCTCCATAGATGCACATACATACATGTTCTAGCCAACATGTATCTACATATATTCCTATGTTAGGATAAAATGTTCTAAAGGGAAATTGGAATGTACCAAAGGATTACTACTTATACATATATTAGCCGAATACAGAGAGCTGGTGCACTACGTGCCACAAGGTCCCCAAACGACCCTCCGCAGGTTTTCAATTCAAAGTCGTCCATCTCCTAGAACAGTTGCCATTCACAGGTATAGAACCTAGTCTGCCCTGCTATTTACCCATAGCTGGAGGAGGAAGAAGAAGAGGGTTAATACCTTTACTAGGAGATATAGCACGTAAGTGAATGTAAATCAAACTCAGCTCTGGCTTTTCCTCAATCCAAGCTGCTATGCATTACTCTACTGTGTCTTCTGTATATATATATATATATATATATATATATATATATATATATATATATATATATATATATATATATATATTCATCCACATACAAGCCAGTTTCGCTGTATCACAGTTTTTCATTTTTTACTAGACATCCAATTGCTTCAAGCCAGGATCGAAACTCAACAATTTAGGCAGTATATTTTCATTCAGGCAGGCTAGGTTAGATAACGCATATTTGGGATTGCATATGCACAGATATCCAACCCCTAAAGATAGTCTCAGATGAGAATGAAAGTAGTTGGGAATATAAAAAATTACAAGGTAATAAAAACATCAGCAAGTTATCAACACCTATAACAGAACAAATAAAAACTTATATGGTGAGGCTCTTGAGTATTTACATTTTAATATAGGGATCCTTCTTCTCAATAACAGACAGCAATCTATCAACCATTGATTTTATTAAAATTGTTTTTACTTCAGCAGATTTGGCTTCCGATATGGTCGTTTTAATTGCTCCCCATAGATTTGCTGGCATATTTTTACAACCTTCATATAATTTCATCTTCACAAGTGATCATAAATTTTCGATTGGATTCAGATTGATACCTGATGTCAGCCATTCCATTATTTTTCCTGTAATAACTGTTCTGCACAAAGAATTCACGGGTAACCATATATACATGAAACGGTGCATTTTCGTGCATAAATACAAACCTCACTTTCAAACTGTAAGGCTGGGACTTGTAGCATTTTATGAAAATCTAGTCCATGAAATAGCAATACCTAACACTGATCAGTTTAAAACCTACATCGACTTTGAATGGTTCAATAATAGTGTGATCAATAATTCCATTCCATATCCTCACACTGCCTCCTCCTTGCTGTTTTCTTTTAACCACAGGTATATCTATAACGGATAAAATATCAGCAGTGAAAATTACTTTAGAAAAGTCAGTTTTCATGTATTTATTAGTCTAATTTTGAAAGTTTAAAATATTTGGTTTACCGAGAAGAATCTGGCTAGGAGATTTCTAGATGGAAC